ATTAAGGAACGATTTATTCGAGTTTCTGTTTTAACAATAGGTGACATTATTACGCTGTAAATAGTCATTAATCCCCGCTACTTCTTGAACACCATACGCCCTGTTTACGGTAGAGTTACGACGATTCTTCGAGCGTTTTTTTTCTCAAATTCCAATTAGCATTGTGCATCATCTAGAACTTTCGCTTACTTTTCCTATTAACATCTCCTTGAGACAATTATATTTTGTGCTATATATATATAATTTAATCGAGCTCGAAATCATCGTTAATCATCCATGCTTTAAAGTATTATCCGTAACGCTTATGTGACGTATCGTGTATCATGATTTTTCGTGCTCCGGTTGCCTTAGATTATTCGTTATATGGTATCGGTTGATACGACTAAAATCTAGCGTGTAATTTTATTATATGTAAGATAATCCCTGTGTTAGCATAACTCAGTGTAATAAAACAAAAGGAAATTGAATTTTAAATTAAATATACAGCAATTCGCTAAGTATTAATCGTATCGAGGGCCGATCAACACCGACAACGTTTGAATACGGCTAACGTTTTACATCATAGTAAACCATCGGATTCCCATCGTCGATGTTTCGATCTTTAATTAAATTCCCGAATGATCGAGTAAATGAACGATCGGGCGGGTCAATAGTGTAAGTGAAATCTGTTAACTTACGTTGTGTACGCGATATGGGCTGATTGGCAGTGGGCGATCAATTGACCCTCTCGTTAACTCGTGCCAATAGGGATGAATTGTTATCAACGTGCTTCTACGCATACATAATCAATTGGCCCTTTCCATGTACGAGTAAGGCGCGCAAATATTTCGTACATAGCTTATACCTAAATTAATGTAACGCAAACGACAAACGGGCGAACGGTTTCGAACGTTCGAAATCTTTATGCTTGGTGGTGAAAAAATAAATTGAATTCCGATAAGAAATTTTCACCATTTAGCATCGTTTTAACAAACAGCAATAACTCTGATGTAATTTGACGAATCGACGCAATAATTGTATTTTCAAATAAAACTGAAATCAAGAAGAATCGAAATTTTCAAAATTTTTTCCAATATATGTATAATAAAACGATAAGATTGTTAAAAAATTTGTTTATGACGATATACGTACATTTTTCTTTCTTTATTTTTTTTTTTAAGTCAACGATTTTACACG